GGGGTCATTCTTGAGTCTAAGTTACACGTTTTTGAACCGTCTTTCTAATGGTATGGGTCTCATTCTATATTTCTGACTCGAATTAACCATTTTACCCTTGTGAACCTTAGGGTTTCGGAATGGCCCCGAAGTTGAGGCTATCTGACGTCTATAATTCGAAGTGGTTAAAAATGACCAATGTGACCTTGGTATGACCTATATTGTATAGTTGGGGTGAAATGACCATTTTACCCTTGGGTGTCTCCAGGTCGGATTAAGACCCGATTAGTAATCTAAACCTTTGGGTTTGTGTCGTTACAGATTGTATTAGAGCAAAGTTCAAATACCTTTCAGATGATAGGTAGTGGCTTACCTAGATGGGGTGGAGAGTTGACTTGCATTGGCTATGTGCTATATGCGATGTGCTTATGTGTTTACAGTTTTGAAAGACATGCTTACTTACTAAGTGTTCACATGTCTACATGTTTAAATGCTAAAATATGTGTTACATGGCCATGTATGTGGAATGAATATGTGATTTAAACCATGTAAATGAAACGTGTAAGTGACTGAAAACATGTATATAAAATGCTTGTATGTAAAAGGTTTAATTGATTCATAAAAGTGATTAGACTCTCAAAGCATGATTATCAAATTACATGTTTACTTGATAAGTTGCTTACTATTGATGAAGGCATGTTATCCATGGTAATGGCAAGTAGCTAGTGAGCACGGTTTGTAGTTGACTGAATAATCTACTATTTTGTGTCGATGGCTATGATACCCCTCGAATCCGAGACATGGGTTGATCAAGCCCAAGCCCAAGCCCAAACTCGAGGAAATATTAAACAATTAATATTTTAAAGCGAACACAGAATATAAAAAAGAATTCAGAATTAACTAATAAAGCTGAAAGAATTTACTAAATAGAAAATCCTCCCAATAAAGATTGATAAAACCCAACTCTCCAAAACCTCTAATAGTACAACTCAGGAATCCATCTAATGGACTCCTAAATCAAATCCCAACTGAACATAAAGTAACTGAAAATAAAACCAAATCTAAAACATGGAACGAGATCCTACGTCGTCGGTAGAGTGAACGATAGTCTCTGCTCAGTACGATCAAGCCTAAGACTGGAATCGTCCGATACCTAAAAAATATAAGAGTGGGTCAGGCCCACGAACAAATTCTAATCTAACTACAATCCATACGGTGACCCGATACATAGATACACCCTAGATATCTCACAATATCTATCTAGTCCATGTATACATATTTATCCACACTAAGGGATATTCACTGGACTACGAAGGGGTCTCAACCTGAATGCAAAAACGCACCCAAAGGTGAGCATGAGTACCTAGACCTAACATGGTACACCTCAACCTATCATAGCCAGCTACGCACCCACTGCATATACGCATCCTAAGCAACGAGCCTGTGACTCAAGCTCATCTCGTGGTACCATAACCATATATTTAAAGTCCGTCCAAAACCAGAATATGTCATTCAATTGTTCATTGATCTGACATACAATTTTATAATCCAGTTAGTCACTTAACTTATTCAATTGATATGACATAACTACAAACAACTAATCTAGGAAGTCATTCAACTTAGTCAGTTGATCTGACTTAAACATAATTAGGATTCAATATTTTACAATCTATTCCTTTATTCCAATAGGTTAGATCTTAGCGTTTTGAGCTAAACCATCCCTAATATGCCACCGTCCCATATCGGTGCATACAATCCACAACATCCATAACAATTACAGAACCTAAATAACAGTTCAACAATTAAAGTCCAAAATCATAATCCAATTTAAAACCATAATCCAGGAAATTACAGAAAAATATATAATATTTCATCAATTTAAGTTCAAAACTAAAATCCAATTAATCGTAGAATAATGTATAATTATTTCAACAATTAAAATCCAAAACCATAATCTAGTTAATTGCAGAATAATGTATAATATTTCATCAATTAAAACCTAAAGTATAATCCAGTTTAAAACCATGTAAACTATAAAATTATAAAGAGTAGTTTAGCAACCAAAGTCCAAAGCATGCATAGGTCCAATCTATTAATTAAAGTAACCTACTATGCATTTAAAACAAGTTTTAAACTCATGCTATAATCCGTTAAATCACTAATTTAAAGTTAGGCAATTTAACTCAATTCCATCCGTAAATAACATGCAAAGTTGTTTAATTCCATACTATTTATTCTATTCGCATAACCATATAAGCTATGCACTGAGAGCTTTTAATAACACCTGTATTACATGTTAAATACCCCAGTCTACTTCCGGAATAGTGCAAAACACATAAATCATCCAAACTGTTCACCCGGACAAACCCAAAACACATCAAAACATGGGACCCTACTCTTAAAACAATAGAGCAGGCTCTGTAGAGCATAGAGCCGGCTTAGGAGGGTTGGGAGCTGGCTCTGGACTCCCTAGAGCCAGCTCTGAAGATGAGGGAGCCGGCTCCCTCTTCCATGGAGCCGGCTCTCTCCCTCTCTGAGAGCCCTGGTGCGTTTCTGACATTCCAACCTTTCTATTTGTTTTTAAAACTGTTCCTAAGAGTCCTAAGTCTGTCCAGTATCATCCCAGACCATTACTTAAACCAGTTTGCATTATTACGAACCTTAGAACACTAACCGATTAAACATGCTTAAGAAAATCAAATACTGTAACAAAACTTCCAAGAACCGTAACTAAATTAATTCAACACATACAGATATTCAATTTAACATATAATAAACATGCACAGTTCAGTTAATGATTCATTAAAACCCTAGAGCCTATCTAGGTGCACAGAACACAGGCCAATGGGAGAGAGAGAAAAAAACTTGCCTGTGATTTCAGTTATGAAATCTCGACGTCGTCTCTAAGTTTCTGGCAATTACTGAATACCGTCAAGCCTCCTACTGCTCTGGCTTTAACCCACAATCAACCTCCTCAGTCCTCTCTGTTTTCCTCCTTGACAGCCCTTATGGTGCCTCCGTTCTCTCAACCCTCTCTTACGTGAACACAGCTATGTTTATGTTTGTGTTTTAAAACCCTAAACCACCGTAATGATATATTTATAGGCTTCGAACAATAAAAGCCTAGGCCATGTATAATTAGAGACGGAACCCTAATTTAAATCCTAGTCGGCCACAACGTGAATTCTAAGAATTAAACATACTTTTTAACATTATAACAGTTATACTTATTTAATCTAATTAAACAAGCGAATTCCAAATAGAAAATACAAATAGACAATTAAAGAAAATAAAAACACAATAATTAAATAAAACCATTAATCAATTAATTTAAATAGTAAACCCAAATAAACAATTAAACAAATATTAATCAATTAAGTCAAATAATAAACACAAATAAACAATTAAACAAATAAAAATACATTTAAATAATTTATTAAAATACTAGGACTATTCTTTTTTAAAATTAGGGGTATTACAATTGCTTTTATGCAATTTTGCTTTTGAGAACTCTAAATGATGAGTATTGTCCTTAGTTTGATGCAATATGCTTTTGAACTCTAAATGATGAGTATTGTCCTTAGTTTTGTGTAATTTTCTTTTGAACTTTAACCATTTGGACAAGTTTCAAGATTTGGTTTCGTATTTAGTGATGATTACTCTCCAAGATTACCAATTATTGCAAGTGCACTTCAACCATTTGGACAAGTTTTCAAGAATTGGTATCTTATTTGGTCATGATTACTCTCCAAGATTGGTCTTAGTTGTAAAATTTCCTTTTGAATTCCAATTGTTCATATGGTATGGCTCATGCTTAGATGTTGACAAACTCTACGGAATAGGCTCCTCACTGCAACAACAACAACAAATTACATTTTCTTTATGTTAAATTATTTCAACATGTATGGTTTGTGGTTTCAATGAAACTGTGAGTTTCCTCCTATATAATATAGATGAACAAGTTTATCTTTTTTTCGGTCATTTAACTCATTTATTAGGTCACATAAAGCGAGAGTGAGAGTCTGAAAGCGATAAAATTAAAATCACACAGAATGGGAGATAGCGTGAGAAAGTGGAGTTGCACATGGAGCGTGAGAGTGATGCACGAAGCTGAACTACTTGCAAAACGGGAGAGAAGCACCCATTTAAAAAAATTGTGTGACTTAGTTTCATGCATTTTGCAAAAAAACATAGGCAATTTGAGTCTATCTACCTTCTTTCTTCGATTACTGTATACTTGCGGACTTTTCTTTTGCAAAAAGTTGTATTGGTGATTTGGAAGAATAGGTATTGCGTGCACCGCACATGATGGTATATCATTGGTATACTCGCTTAATTAAATATAATATTTTATCTAATTATCAGTAATTTTATAAGTAGTTCAGCCAATTTTTAAAAATAATAATAAAAAAATTATACATTATGATTGAATGAAGTATACCAACCATGTGGGTCCAAGGCCCACCCAACAGCTCTGCCACCATGTTGATACCGGATTTGTTGAAGCCATTGATGGTTTCTTTTTATGTTAGCTTCTTGGGCTGGGGTCTTTGGGCTTGGCTACTTTGTTCAAACTTTATTCTCTCAGGGCCTGGCTTACTTCAAGCCTGGGCCTGCTAATGTAATATTGGTATGGGCTCTTTAGGCTCCCTTTTTATAATATTTAAATTTATTTTTCGAAAAAAAAAAAAAAAAAGAAAAAAAAAAAGAGCAGCTCCGCCACCAAATCACCAATACACCACAGCGTCCTGTTTCTCTCTTCTCCACTCTTTATTATTTATTTATTTATCTTTTTGATTTTCAAAGCTCATGAAGTTGGGAAATTGCAGTCTCACTTACATCTTTCACCTGTCATTGTCTACCATTAATCACCACATCTGTTTCTAGCCAACTAAAGCATTTATTACATGGTACATCCATATACTATTTACGATATTGATAAATAGGAAAATGATTTTAAAGCCGAATTGGTAGGCCAAATTTTTATACTTAATATTTTTAATTGGTCAATAAATATCAAATATAAAAAAAGTTAGATCAAATATATTATATTCAAGTATTCTGCCAAAAGTTTAAGTCCAAATACCACTGCTCTGATAAGATATCATTCCAGTTGGCTCATTACAACATAAAGCAAATATTAAACAAAAACTAGTAGTAAACAGAGGGTGAATCCTCAGAGTACAAGGGAGTAGACCATTCCCTCCAAAAGACCAGTTATCAAGAACATAAAAAACCGCAAGCTTACACGCACAAACTGCTTATGCAAACACACACACTAAACCAACAAGGACAGCAATACTACAGAACAGATGGATGAGGCCTTAGACAATACAACCAAATTTTTGCATTTCACAAAAGGCCAGAAAGAGGGCATGCATCTGATTATTCCTTGGTACTGATTCTTTCCATTACTAATATCAAAAGATAAAATGGATAGCGGATGATGTACGGAGAGATGCGATGGTGCAAGGAAATTGGGAAGGAGAGAGGAAGAATTAGTAGCGAAAGAGTGAGGAGAGAGAGAGAGCCAATGATTAGAACAACAGCGGAAAGCCAAGTGAGGTTGCTCACTACTAGATAAATAGCTGCCATGAAGGCCAAGGAGACCATTAAAAGAGATATTCCCAACAAGGGTACTGCTACTTCGAGAGAACTGAGGCCCAATCTTAGATCATTCATAAGTGCCCAAAAGAGAAGAATGTCAACAATGATGGAACTATACATAGCTATGGTATTACTTATGAGGAAGACGCAGAACATACGCTTTTCAAGGAGAACTGCCATGCCTTTGTGTGGATCATCGGAACTGTTAAATCCTCCTGGCATCGTGAAACCAGCCGCAAAGGTCACAGTGGCCACTAGTGTTGCCACCACCAACAGTGTGTTGACCCTGTCTTTGTAACTTTCCATGTTGAGTGGCTCATGCTGACGCTTTGGTCTTTGGGTTTTCATCATGGAAGGAGATTGCTTGCTCACTCTGGAAGTACTCAGGTTCTTAGCTTGTGGTGCGCCAGCATATCTCAGGGCTAGCCATGTCAGCCGCTGAAACCCATGATCATCCATGTAAACATTATTGATTAATGAATGAGATAACGCGCTCTCTCTCTCTCTACCCCACACACACACACACCAATCAAGAAACGAGTTCTTTCAATTAAGAACACATACCCTTTCAAATGAGTATGCTGTCTCACTGTCGTTATCTGAAACATCCAAAGCTGTTAGGCCAAGTCAACCCTATTGTCCCATGTCATGATAGTCACAACCCGAGCATGCCCATTCTTGGTTGCCAAATGCAGTGGGGTGTTTCCTTTTTTATCTCTTTCATTAATAAGCATGGCAAGCCCGGATGTCCCAAGAATGTACTTTACAACATTCCATTTCCCACTCTCAGCAGCCACATGAAGAATATTTTTACCTTCTCTGTCGAGCAGCTCCCATGAATCAGGGCAGCGTTGGATAAACTTTTTTATAATCTTGACATGGCCTCTCTTGGATGCCTCGTGAATGGGATAAGACCCATCCTGGTCTCTTGTGTATGTTGCATCAAAAGATTTGTCTAAGAAGTAGCAAACACCTTTTAGGTAACCAATGGAGGATGCAAAGGAAAGAGGAGTCTTCCCTTCTTCATCAAGCAGAACAAAACAAAATGATGTCTCACTCTTCACTCCATCATCGAATGAAATACAGTAAGAAGGCCTTCCATCCACAGAAGTAGCAATGGAAGTTGTCTGATATCTCTTTACCATGTGTAAGACATCTGTTGGCATGTTAGAGGATTGGTGCCTCATTACGGCATCTAAGACGTCTGGTATTTTATATGATAAAAGTGTTAATATTTCAGACGATCCAGAGGAACAGGGACGAGGGTACACACTAACAAAATTACTAATTAAATTATTTATGAATTATTAATAATTTGAAGTTCATCTTTTTTTAACATTTTTTATCTTCCAAATAACTTGGGAATATTACTCTACTAAGAAAATATATATGCTAGTGTGAATTGGGGGCTAGCAAAACATTTACCCTCAAAAAAAAAATGGGGGCTAGCAATATATATTCTTGAAATGATGTTGATGTATATAGGATGTGTACGTTCTGTGGAGAACCAATCATGGCAACAAAGTTGAATTGAGCAAACAAAAACAGATAATATCTACAAATTGAGTTAGGGTTTGTTTTACCTTTGTTCATCCCTTGAATGGCAGCATGAACAAGTGACTTGCCTTGGAAAAATCCCATCTCATCAGCAGGTCTTTTCTGGAGCACAGTGTTCACAAGCTCCACATCGCCTGCTTCAGCGGCCATATACAAGGGAGAAACTTCTTCGCGGTTTACTCTTATGGTGGCATCTGGATTCTTCTCAACTAAGAAAATAGCCAATTCGTGGTGATGATTTTTAATGGCAAGATGCAATGCAGTATTCTTGTCCTCATTTTCTTGGACGAGTAGATCCAGCGAACCATAAGCTTCTGCATGACGAACCAGAATCTGGACGACAGTTTGATGGCCAGCAGCAGCAGCCAAATGGAGAGCAAGGTTGCCAGTGGTGTTTCTGTTGAAGATTAGGTTGGAATTAGAGTGCCTGCTGAGTATCTGGTCGACAAGGCCCGAATGGCCTAAACTGGAGGCAACATGAAGAATGGTGTTCCCACGGGCACTGATAATCCGCTTTTAGTCTGCTGTATCATCTTCTTCTTCAACGTCGAGTTTAAACTCATGATCAGGATGCTTTCCCATTGTGATGTCTCTTTACATTTGGGGTTTCATATGTTTGAAGTCGGAGACGAAGGTTGCCTCTCCATTATTGCTGTATTGTGGTGTTGAAAAAATGGTTATCACGTGATCTTTAGCTTGAACCTGTTCGATTCTATTATTTCTCAGTGAAGTAGTAGTACTCCGACCCTCTAGACCCCAACTTTCCCATGGAGGTACTGAAACTTGGAGTAATGGAGTACCAGCGACACCACAGGGTTTTTGATTTTCAGCAGGAACCAGTGGATGAATTGCATTATCATCACTGATGATAGTCGTTCTGGAACGAATCATTTGATGATAGTCAATAGCAGCGGGTGATTGACAAAGTTCTGGAAGAGGAAGAGGAAGAGGAAGAAGTTAAAGCGGCACTAGTAAAAGCGAAAGGAGTGGGTTTACCAGTAAAAGCGGCACCAGTACCAGCGGCTGATTGACAAATTACTGAAGAGGAAGTGGGAGTCATAAACTTACACCCACTAAATGTCATGTAGTGGGTGTAATTAGGTATAAAAATGTAATTGGTTAGGCATGTCTTAGAATATATGTAAATTCATGTATTATACCCAGAGAGAATAGTTAAGTGAGTAAAAGAATAAGATAAATTAGTAAAAGTGAAATAATATATTTCTTTTTTTATTTTTCTTTCAAATTATATAAAGTTGTACTTATTTGTATAATTCACTATTTTTAATAAAGTGGTATCAGAGTAAAGTCAGAAAGCGATATCAGAGCAAAATTCAATATGCTGAATGATTAATTAAATACTAAAATTAAATTTATTTTTAAACAGAAAGAGGTTAAAGCGGCACAAGTAAAAGGAAGGAGTGGGTTTACCACGGCGAATTTCAGCAGCATCCAGCTGATGAATTGCATTAATCGGCGATCTCGTTTGAGGCGTTGCTGGACGATCCCTTTGATGATCGTCCGTTATTTGATCTTTTACAGGGCTACTACTTGACATTATATATATATTAATTCTTTTTCTGAGATACAACAACAGGAAGCTAGCTAGAGTTTGCTTGCTTGTGAACCTACTCTACAAACCACCTCTTTAATTTATATGCACGCACGTACAAACATAGTTAGGTACATTTTTAATTGGAAGAATTTAAGAATATAGCAATTATAAAGATAAACATCGCGTGGTGTGTGTTAGGTCACAGAATGCATAGTATCTGTTCATATATGTGGTTTAGTTCCCTCCACGTGGATCGGGAGTTCATAACCCAACAACCATGACGTCCATGCCCTGACCTCAGCGTGCAAAACGTCACCAAAAATTGAAGACTGGGGAGGTTGTAATACAAGAAAATGGTTAAAAAAATAAATAAAAAGAAAAATAAAACTGCATCCCTCACCCTGAAGAAGAAAGAACCAAAGGTCCACTTCACTGGTGAGCAATCCCCCCTCACATTTTTAATTGATGATAGCAATTATACAGATATACATTGCGTGTGTGTGTTAGGTCACAGAATGCAAACTCTCTGTTCATATATGTGGCTGTGGAGGAGGGAGAAAAATCGTCTCCAAGGCACCTCTCACTGGAGGCTGTCCTTGGAGGGGTAAATGGTCCCTTTTTAGTAAAAAAAGTATTTACCTTGTGAACTATACATACATTCATACTTATGTATCCCTACAAGAATCAATTTCTCTGTATACAAAATGAAATTCAAACTCCCTCCAAAACATAAAACTGATTTTCCTTCAAAATTTTATTCTATATCCTCAAGTTATATTTCATTATTTCCCTCTTAAATTCAGGTCTCTCTCCCTCTAAAATTGAAATCTATCTCTACCGATGGCCAAAGACCAAGCTTCGTAAATTCGGGCAACCTCATCAAAGAAGCAAAACATTGTCCCTTTTACATTTCGGTGAGAAGCACCATACATTCCGGCGAGAAGTAAAAAATATACATACATTTCGGTGAGAAGCAAAAGGCTACTATACATTCCATAGAAGTAGTCCACCATACAATATTTGTAATTTTGTTTATTTTTCTGCATTTTTGTAATTTTGGTATGTTAAATTTACAAAGTTTATGATTTTATTTATCAGTTGCAAGTATTCATTTCTGATTTAGAAATATTTATAATTTTGTTAGTTTTTCTGCATTTTTATAATTTTGGTATGTTAAATTTGCAAAGTATGTGGTTTTATTTATCTGTTCATTTCGGCGAGAAGCAAAAGGCTACCATGCATTCCCTAGGAGCAGTCCACCATACAATATTTCTAATTTTGTTTATTTTTCTGCATTTTTATAATTTTGGTATGTTAAATTTGCAGAGTTTATGATTTTATTTATTAGTTATAAGTGTTCATTTCTGATTTAGAAATATTTATAATTTTGTTAGTTTTTCTGCATTTTCATAATTTTGGTATGTTAAATTTACAAAGTATGTGGTTTTATTTATCTTATTTCAGATTTAGAAATATTTGTAATTTTGTTAGTTTTTCAACATTTTCATAATTTTGGTATGTTAAATTTGCAGAGTCTGTGTTTTATTTATCTGTCATAAGTCTTTATAATTATTATTTTATAATATTGTTTATCTGTTATAATTGTTCATCATTGCGCCACATGGTGGTTTTATTTATCTGTTGTAAGTGTTCATAATAATTTTTTAATGTTAAATAGATTTGACATGTGATTTTTAAAGTATTATAATTAATGGCTAATCTGTTGCAGTAATTTATAATTTAATTTTACATATAATTTTAGTAATTCAATTTGTGATATATTAGTAATTTTGTTTTATATTTTGTTTACGAAAGAAATCCTTAATTAATTATGATTCAATAAACTAAGACGCAATAAAATAGTGAGTGTTGTTTAAAAAATCACTTAATTGAATTGAGAGATAATATGTTTTTCAGTGGAGATACCTGTACATTTGTCGATCACAAAAGCTTTGTTTATTTTCTTTCTTGCAGGCCTGATTTTATTTGGCTTGACAATAATTTTACTCATTCAGGTGTTGTTGGGTAAATGAAATATTGTGATGCATGTTAACAAAGAATTCATATATATACGGTTATGTTGTAACACATATTAGTCAAACATTCTAATAGGTATTTAACACTTACCTTTAACTTCATAAAAAAAAATAAAAAATAAAAATAAAAAATAAAAAAAATGATGTGGTGCATGTTAAGAAAAAATTTATATTTTATATACAATTATGTTGTAACACATATTAGTAAAACATTCTGATGGGTATTTAATGATTTCGTCCACTTCCCTTCAATTTCGTAAAAAAAAGTTGTGGTGCATGTTAAGAAACAATTTATATATTATATACAATTATGTTGTAATACATATTAGTAAAACATTTTGTTTGGTATTTAACACTTACCTTCAACTTTGTAAAAAAAAAAAAAGATGTGATGCATGTTAACAAAGAATCCATATTTTATATATAATTATGTTGTAGCACATATTAGTAAAACATTATGATAGGTATTTAACACTTACCTTCAATGTCGTTAAAAAAAAAAAAAAAAAAAGATGTGATACATGTTAAGAAAGAATTCATATTTTATATACAATTATGTTATAATACATATTAGTAAAACATTCTAATGGGTATTTAACACTTACCCTCAACTTCATAAAAAAAAGATGTGATGCATGTTAAGAAATAATTCAGATTTTATATAAAATTATATTGTAACACATATTAGTAAAACATTATGTTGGGTATTTAATGATTTCGTCCACTTCTCTTTAACTTCGTAAAAAAAAGTTGTGATGCATGTTAAGAAACAATTCATATATTATATACAATTATATTGTAACACATGTTAGTAAAACATTTTGATGGGTATTTAACACTTACTTTCAACTTTGTAAAAAAAAAAAAAATGTGATGCATGTTAACAAAGAATCCATATATTATATACAATTATATTGTAACACATATTAGTAAAACACTCTGATAGGTATTTAATGATTTCGTCCACTTCCCTTCAACTTCATAAAGAAAAGTTGTGATGCTTGTTAACAAATAATTCATATATTATATATAATTATGTTGTAACACATATTAATCAAACATTATGATGGGTATTTAATGATTTCGTCCACTTCCCTTCAACTTCGTAAATAAAAATTGTAATGCATGTTTAGAAAGAAGTCTTATATTATATACAATTATCTTGTTACACATATTAGTCAAACATTGTGATGCGTATTTAATGATTCCTTCTACAGTCCCTTCAACTTCCTTTGGTTTAAATTGGTTGTATTTACTCAATCAAGTGGTAGCTATATGGGGTGTTTTGAATTGGTTTTTTCATGGAGGTTTCACTCCACTAATAGATGTATTTAACAACTCATTTTTTCAACTACACTTATATAACAACTCATTTTTTCTAAAACATGTATGTGGATGTGCACTTTAATTTAAGAATTAAATTAAGAGAAATGTTATACAAAGAATTGAATGTGTTACTGTAAAAGATGTGTTCCATTAGCAGTTCTATCAAGTGTTTACTTGCATTGAGCATCTTAAATAAAAGCTATGATGCATGTTAATATAAAATCATATATTATATACAAATATGTTGTAACACATGCTAGTCAAATATGTTAAAAATATGTTTCTATACTATATGAAATTTAATTTTGTTTGGTTTTTGCTTTAATGAAATAAGCTATCATATTTGTTCCTTGAATCAAATTTATTACCATTATAAACATAATATATATGACTATATGTATCAATATATTTATAGATACAAGAGAAAAAAAAAAAAAAAAAAAACAACTAATTATGTTAACAGAAATCAACAACGGCGACTAATATTAACCAATATCTAGAATCATTTATTTCTCAATTGCAAAAAAGAGAAATTGTTTATCTATTTACATAAATATATATCTCTATAAATATAGTTTTTTCTCTCTAGATTTTCTCCCTAATTATATATATTATCTATTTCATAATTTTTTTTATTTGGAAAAAAAAAAAAAAAAAAAGATGAATGAAGTCCCAAAATTGGAAACAGATGATGCAAGTATGGAGTTTTCGGCACCAATGATGTTTCCGGCGAGATCAAGTGAATTCTAGGAGAGGAGGAAGGTTGAGATCGATATTGGTCTTGGCCTTGGCGCCGCGAAACTCACACACCACTGCATTGTAGGAGAGGATGTTATGCTCCTTTGAATCCACGATGAACTCTATCTCAACATTCGCCATGGTTGGACCTCTGTGTGTGAGAGGTTTCAGATCTAGTTTTTGGTCTTTAATTTTGAAAAGTAGAAGAGCAACAAAGGAAGAGAGGGATGGGAGGAAGATGTATTGTATAAACTTTTTGTATTGTAGATTGTATGGTATAAGTATATTTGTATATGGTATTTGTGCTTGTGATAAAAATTAAGTAGCTGAATAAACATTTTTATTTCTGTGCTGAGCTAGAGATGAGTAAGCGATGATGTGGCACAATTTGAACAAGTGGCTAGATCACAGCCATTGGATCCTCAATGGACCCTCTCCATTGAGAGGTGCCATGGAAAGGATTTTTGCCCGTGGAGGAGAAGGAAACGATGACATTATTTTAATTAATGATAGCAATTATACAGATATACATTGCGTGGTGTGTGTTAGGTCATAGAATTCAAAGTATCAGTTCATATATGTGGTTTAGTTCCCTCCATGTGAATCGGGAGTTCATAACCCTCCAACCATGACGTCCATGCCCTGACCTCAGCATGCACAACGTCACCAAAAATTAAGGACTGGAGGAGTTGTAATACATGTTGTTAAAATGGTCACCCAATAAAATTACCAATCAGGTGCATACTGCATTGGTGGTATTGTGCCGTATT